AAATAAGAAAAACGTACGCTTTATTGATTAGTCCCAGGACCTATATTTACGCTTTTCGAACCTACGTCTGTACAGGCTAAAGACACTAAGTTTGACAAAATTTATTCGGTAGGAACAAAGAGGGAGAAAAATCATAGATTGCAAGGTCGAAAATCGAATGGTAACGATTTTTTAATAATCTTTTCGATCACATAAATTGCTTTAAGCACATATTAGGCGGAGACAATCAATAAGAAGCCTTGAATCCAAGTTTCATGCTAGTTGGCGCACATCAGCAACACATGCTTACTATCTTGTGTTAAACAACACTATCTGTAGCACATAATCGGAGCCTATAGTATTAAAGTGTTAACGTTAATTGATCGCTGTACCAACCTGCATTCTAGCTCTTCTTTTCTTATAGGTCAAGTTTCCAGCTTGATTACAATAACACTTTCCAAAAACGTATATTACTCAATCTCTGTTAGTAATTGATATTATACTCTAGCTTAATATTTCCGATTGTATTTCGACTTACTCAAGGGATATTTGTTCTAATCCATCAAAAATTATCTGAGCAGCAACAAAACTGAATCATCTGATCCAGCATGATCTGACTGTTAATAGTTGTCACTCTGATTGTACTGTTGTTTTCTTCGATATGGCTACTGATCAATCCTTACTGTGTTTTTTGAATAATTAAGGATCTGTGTCGCACAGTCAGCACGTTGCTTAACAGAAAATATCAAGTAGGAAGTTGTTAATTTATAGTATATCTCTTTATTAGCTTCTAGTAAGCCCTTCCTTGTTTCGTAGATTTTCATTAAAATTAACTTCGTTTCATGGTGTTTGAGTTCTGAACCTTTACTGTGTCACTTCATTACATCTCAGTAACAACAAAGCTATTCTCTGCAACCTGAGAGTTATCCAACAAGCCAATTTCTAACCTGAAATGGTTCCAAACTGTTTATTTATTTTAAATATGCTATTTGTTCTTGTCTTCATATCCTAACATAAATAATCTGGGCTAAATTAAAATTTTAAGCAACCGTATCAGAAACAATGTGTAGTACTTGTTCACACATTATTTTTATCCATTATATGTAAATACACACGATAACAACTGTTGACTACAGTTGTAGACTACAATATTTGATGATTCTAAAGTTTGTCCAATGTATAATATAACAACCTAAGTTTAACCATAACAGGTACACTCTTAGCACTTAAAATTATGTTATTATTTGTTTATTCATTAATGTTCATTGTTGCTTTATCTGAATATGTAAAACAGACATAGAATGAGTGACTAATATCTATTATAACAACATTATACACATATCATAGCCCCCATACTCATACTTTAGTTGAATACTATCACAATGTAACCTCAGTTTGGAAATCTACAACAAGAACTTGCAATATAACATTCGTTTTATTTTTACCATTCGTTCATATTTCACAATTACATCAAACTCATGTGAATCAAACCAATTCTCACATATGTTGCAGGTAGCACACAAAAATATATACTTTTTAACAAATCACATTGTTAGTTTTAACACTTATAATAGGAAATCCGAATTAGGTGGTATGATGCTAAATCGGTCATAATGACGCATTCATTCTTTGTCCTCTAAATATCATCCCTAGCTCTTAATCCTTCTATCTCACTTTTTTATACTCCAAAGAAATTTCTCGCAAGCCACTGAGTAAATGTTGAAAAGTAAGTACTCATCACCCTCAACGGTTTGAAAATGGCTTTCCACACTTCTAACGATGGAGTTATAGGCTGAAAAAATACATCAAAAAGCATCCTGGTTATCAAAACTCAAAGAGATGTTTGTGTTATAGATACAATGCTAACAGACCTATCGACTTTAAAAATAAGAAAAAGAAGTTGAAGAAATGCGTAATCAAATATTTGAATGCTAGTGATGAACGTTTCCTAGTTGAAACTTTAGAAACGAATTTGCATACGTTCTAACGTCGTATTTTAAACACTCAAGAACAACTAATTATTTGTAAAAGACACAAACTTCAATGAAATAATAGTGGCGGAAAGCGAATACTCTGAAGATAAAACAAGCTGAAATGAGCTAAAATACAACAAGAATCACAGTACTTTAAGGTCAATGGAGGATTGTAACTCCCGTCTATCAAAATACCAAACATAAAATACAAAATACTATTAATGCTCACCGTGTAGATCAAGGAAGATAAGTATTAAAATGACTTCTTTTTATTCAAATTATTTTATTTACTATTAAGTTAAACACCCTAGAGTAAATTTTCAATCAGCTGGGTTTGGGATTCATACAGATTCCATCAACCATTGTAAAACTTTGAAAGAAAGCTAATTTGAATTATTTGAAAACGAATGTAGATTCAGATCACCTAAGTGACGTTATTTTGAAATTTTGTTTTTAAAAAATCACTCAAAAAATTCTATATTTAATTGATTGATCTAGGTCCTTCCAAGTATAGAACAATGTACAGAAGATTATCTACCGTTCACTACTACATAGGTTATTGAATGTCGATAAAAGCTATTGTTCAAGATCACATTAAAATTTAGCTCTGCAACACGGTTTAGATGATCTTATTAAAGAAAACTAGATCAGAAATATTAGCTGTATTTTACATTTCTCCAATGCATTTATGACTTCAATGTCATATGATAGCATATTCTTTCATAACATTTCATTAAGGTTCTGAAAAAAATAATAATCATTATTTACAAATATATTATTTATTTATAACAATCTACCCAATGCTCAATTTATTCAAAATTATCAAATCAAAACTTGGTAATGATACCTACATCATTTACTGTGTTCAAATTGAAAATTCCTCATAAATCTGCAATTCTGAACACGGACTATTAATCGGATCCTCATAGGCTATTAGTTTCTATGTGTACCTAGACTATAAAAGTAGTTTTAACAAACATTTACTGACTTCTTTCTATATCTAACAGATTCCTAAACAGAGGATAACTTTCAGTAGATTATCTTACTTATCATCAGAAATCATTCAAAATGTTGCTTTGTAAAAGTTAAAGAAACATCGAGTACAGAGTTATGATTGCAAGGGTTCATACATTTTTCCTAAACATATATAACGTAAAACATCTAATTATATCATATCCATAAAATCAAATTTCGTCATTTAATTACTAAATTACTTACAAATTAAACACTTATCTCTCAATAACTAGTTAGACTAGGAGTATCAAAGTGAATGCACCGCTAAATTTTAATGCTTTCCAGTTGAAAAGCTCTTACATTATTATATTCAACATAGAAACTAAAACATATATCCATAGGTTTGAGTTGCAATACCACATAAAAATAGACAGATGAAATTCTAGAGGAGTAGATATAGCAACAGTATCATCAGTAGTTAGAAAAGATTAGGATCCGGAAACTATAAAAGTTTATAAGGGAATTTCGAGACTCAAGTTCTAGGGAAAGACAAGAATTGAATGCACCTCCACCATTGCGAACGATTCTGAGCCATGTCACTCACTCTCTAACCACTGGTTACGATAATAACGCGGACCCCAACAAGATAATCTACACCTATTAACATGGGGTGAGTTCAATTGTCAATGACTTTATAGACTAATGAAACATCTTGTTTTGGCTGCCTCCAGCATTCTTCCAGTCTTCTCTTACACCAGATATCACCCGTCAAGGTAGGTAGTGGTTGGGCATAAGTAACACGTGCCTCAACCAGAGCCGATGGAGATTTACTGCCCCATCAATCGATTTCCCATCTTTACCCAATACTTTATTTCTAACCCCGACACTGCTTACTTTGTGGTCTCAAAATATATCAGCATGACACCGATGACACCTTTATGAATAATGTGAAGTAAACTATTGGTCATTTACACAGCTGAAATATACTGTTATGTGTAAAAGAATATACTCACCACGTGGGAGTATAATAGTATTAAATATTTGTACGGTAAAACTTTTTACCAAAGGCTCATTGACAGTAAAAAAAATTATCAACTGATGATGATTACAAATACTTTCTAATTTGCGTATTGTTTCGGTAACCATCCATGGATGGACAGATACCTTAACAGTCTCCCTCAGAGAACGTTAATCGCACAAAATGTCTTATTTAGTAAGGCTAACTTAGTAGTATTACAATGATAAATAAAAGTTTATATATACATCTGTAGCTATGAAATACCTTGATATGTGTGTCAGTGATTCTTTACTGTACGATGTTATTATAAATTTCTTCGATAACAATGTAATAACTGGTAAGCAGTAGCGTATTTTGTTTAAACTATTATTGATCTTAATGCTTATTGCTCGACAAAAAGATAGTACACTTTTATTCCAGAAGAAAATCTTTGTGAATTTCTTCAGTATACTGTCGACAAGCCCTTCGCCACTGAAATTTGCAACGTCAAATATTCCACTTGGTAACTAATATGAGAATAATTATCATCTTCAATATACATAAGTATTCTGAGTTGAAGAAAAGTTTAAATGATGTGTTAACGGATGTATGTCATCCTCGTTACTTTTTTAATTCAAACTATCAATCGATTATTGATAACTAATTTAAATTTTCACTATGATTAGATGAAATACTCATACCTGTGTGCAATATGTATCTTACCAACATGATTAGGATGAAAGTTATAAAAAAAAATCGAAGTTAAGTGATCACCCACACATAAGTCTTTACTTTAAATAACCAATCATATACGAGGGTTTTTATTAACTTTAGGGCAAAGGGCAGATTAATTAGATTTTTTTAAATTAAATTATTCACTTGCTTCAGACTCCATCTTGTCATTTAAATTTATTCTTTAAATTATGACATATTTAGGAACATATATTGTAATACTATGGAAAACATTGGTATACGAACTTGGTGAGTTCTTTGAGTAGTACAAATTTGAAAATAAAATTTTTTTTATCACTAGTGTATAATATAAACTTAAGAAAATGACTCATAATTTTAAACTGCTTTTAGGTTCTTTTTGTTATATGGTAAGTGAAATTACATTTTGATGTTACGTACGATCATGATTAAAGTAATCTAGAAAAGTATACCAACTTTTATGTAAATACTGCTTTTCCCCTAGATATATAGAATGAACAATGTATCTAGATATAGAATTGAGATCATGAGTCAGTTAAAGCTGGACCACCATGGAAACCTGGAAGCACTGGATGGCCGTTTCGTCCTATTATGGGACTCCTCAGCGGTGCGCATCCACGATCCCACACTCGCGAAATTCGAACCCAGGACCTACCAGTCGTGGATGCGCACTGCTGAGGAGTCCGATGATAGGACGAAACGGCCGTCCAGTGCTTCCAGGTTTTCCATGGTGGTCTAGCTTCAAGTGACTCATGATCTCAACTCTGTAAAATTACTAAAATCTCCACAAAACCCCTTCTGATTATGTATTTAGATGAAAAGTTAATAAAGAGGTTTACATATTGTTTCTAAAATGCTTATCTATGGCTAATTTGCATCTTTCAACTGGTTATATTTCAATATGTTGTGTACACGAAAGATTAATTAATCTACAAAAATTAAGTATAACTACAGTTTAATCTTAAAGGTAGTAGGTGTACTTTTGTCTTTCAGTAACCATAATAGTTTAATCAGTTGAATGTAATATTTAGAGACCAGATGATTTGAAACTAATAAACTGTCAAAAATGGAGATATAATATTTAAGCACTCAATCTGATTCGTTTTTCATTGAAGTTTTGACTAGATTGTTCAATAGTTACCGACTAAACTAATTCAGTACTGTTGGGAGACTTACTGATATCCTTTATTAGATTAATTATCGATGGGGTTCAAATCATGAATATTTTACTAGGTATACTTCACTAATATGTTTTTTAAATTGTGGTTAGATTGTCCGTATGATTTAAATAACAAGTTTATTGTACGTATCTCAGTGTTCTAAAGATCTCAAGTTTTTCTGAATTGTACAACATTAATTAATAGCTGATCACAAGAAATCAGTAAGAATCCCTGGATTTGTGCTTCTGAATAACTGATAACTATAGTGAAGTAGCGTTTGCAATCTTGAAAAAACTTACAATCTAGTAGGAATTTATTATATAAATGTACAAACACTCCATAGCGAGATGACACTTTCAGTACCTTGGATTTTGCTTCACATTTCTGAATCAAGAAATGCTATCAAAAAGCTAATCATCATGAATGTTACTTGCTGTATGACTTTACTTCACAAAGTCATACATCCCTGGGTAGAAACTAACATGTTTGTTATTAACCTAACGACTTCTGAGCAAAATTCTATATTATACGTTATTTAATCTATGAATGAAGTTGATTTGACTAACTGTCAGTTTTCATCTATGACAACAAAGTAATACTCAAAGCATAAGTAGAATAATTTCAGGGTTTTTCTTTGTATAGATAAATATTCATTTATTTTAGCAGTTTAAGTAATTATTAATCCATGTTTCCTCGTTAATTAAATTATTAGATACTAAGCAATATTCTTCTTGACATTAGTTTCATATTGTACATTTAAGTAATAATTACAATAATTTAAAGATTCATTATAAAGATGACCTTATAGGATTTTAAAAAAAATGATTTTTAAGGATTTTAAAGATTTATGACTGTATTCATTTTTACAGAATATTAGACTGTTAATATATAGTAAGCAAAGATGGATAGTGGTCAGCAGTGGGATCCAGGACGCGCGTTTCGTCCTATTTGGGACTCGTCAGCTAGATGTACCTGCATCTCAGAGTTGATGTTCACTCTGGGACTCGAACCCAGTACTTTTCGCTTCAAACGCCATCGCATTATCCACTCGGCCATTGAATCCATCTTTGCTTATAATGCTTGTGAATTTAGGTTATATCGAGACAACACGCACAGTATGCACTTATGTCAACAAGAGACTGACCAATTGCAGTCCTAAACATCAATGGGAAGATTCAAACAAACAATATTAAGTGAATGTTAATATATAGTATTATAAAACAATTTGTATTGAAATCATATCTCATTGTGAGTAGTTTACGCTTTTACAATCGAATCAGGCTAATATTCAGCAAGGTTAAGAAATCCTCGCTGTATAACGTACATGTGCATTTCGTCTTTTTGTTCAACGTATCTAAGTGAGAGTTTTTAAAAACATGAATTATGTGAACATTTCAAGCAAATGGGTTCCTCAGATTTTTTTTGTCTCAGGTAATGTAGTCTAATACATGACTTCATTTTAAATGTTACAAAAATAATGTAATTGAAATATAGAACTAATATTTAAGTGAATATATATATATATATATATATATATATATAGCTTTGTTTTTTTCCTTCTGGGTTTCTTATTAGATAGAAATGGAGCCATCTGAAGAACCACTTGATTTAAGAGTAAGTTAAGTTTTTTTTACTATTATTTGGATATAAGTTTTACAAACTGCCTTAGGTTGAACTTTTCTTTTACATCCTAGACTGGATGTGGCAGTTCGTCTCAAGTTTTGAAAAACTATGAAAATAAGTACGAACATTATGTGAAGCGGAGACCGACATATTTAGAACTAGAATTCGGGGTAAATTTGTTCAAGTTTGTTCATTTGAAATTCTTGTGGTCAGTTTTAATTAATGTTAGTAAATTGAAATATCATGAAGTGATTTTCAAACGACGAAACAACTATTTACGCATAATTGTATATGTATTGTTTATGGGACAAAAAATGGGGTTTTTCAGACAATAGAGACTATTGCCACTAAAAATGTTGAATACCTATATTTTCTTTTACTTTAAATGTTCCAGTAATTCATGTGGTGACGTACCAGCCACGAGGTTAGTCAAGCCTCCTCGGTGAAACCGATTGGCCTTTCAAACAGAAAGCCTGTCATTTTGAGGTACATCTGCCACATGTATTTGTCTTCGTGGAAAACCGTGAGTTTCCTCTGGGTCTTTGCACGCGAGTGTCTCACTTGAGACTAGTATACGTTGCATGCATACCGGTAACACATAGGTTTTCAATTATTCATCCCATAGTTTGATTGTCAACTTATCAGAACAAAATTGTTCCATAGCTCTTTTTCTTCACTAAATACCTCACTTAATGTACAGAGTAATAGCCCTCTTTACATCATGTGACATACATAGTTAACTTGAACTCATAACGGTTATTCTTGTCTCAAGTAACCGTTTAGCGAAATCGATTATAACACCATTTTAACTCCCTGAATAGGCACCCACCTTCCTGAAGTTTTAAGAAGTTCTACGTTAATTAGTGTAAACACATATGACTTCAAATGAAACTAGTCACTACTCCTCGAATAATTAATTTTAAACATATCGGTTCTACAAATGAAAAATCACGATACGAATAGCTATGTTAACCTCTCTGATTGCGAACCTGGGTGACACAGGATCGAATGCACCAGATAGCATCAGTTCTCTCAAAGTTAAAGGTATGCCTAGCTGACGAGTGTCAAATGGCATGAAACCTAGATTCAGGCTCCCCTGTTAACTGCTTCAAATCACGATAACCACCGAACCACAAATGTTCCTGTCTAACTAAAGTATATTCATCCTCGTTTGTATATAAAGGCAGTTAACACTTTTTAAATTCGTACTTAGTGTCTTGTGCATATATTTAAATTAAAAAATGAATGTAAGCAGTTCAAAATGAATAAAATCATCTTTCTTAAAGTTACAGCATTTTTAATATTCTTGTGGTTGGTTACCTTTGCTTACTTTTAGTCTTTTCACCATTGTTTATCTATACTCTTCATGGTTAAAGTTTGTTATTATGAAGAATTTTTAATATGAAGCCGTGATGACATTGTTTCCTAACCACATTGTTCTTGAAACCGAATATACAATAAATGAGAAGACTTACGTTAGTCATTGAACACTCGGAAAACTTTAGAAAACGTCAATGTGGGAACATTTAATTGAGATGGCATGGCTCTGCCATGCAGGCATAGTCACTCTATGTAATCTTTTGTCATTTATAATAAACATTTTATTCTGTTAACACCGTGAATGTATTCTGTAATGGTTCTTGAAAGGAATATTACCGACATTTATGTAGGATAAGATAAAACAGATAGTAGCATGACTTCGATGTAAGACCTTATTATAATAATGATAATATTAATAATAATAAATCCTGAAATTAATAGTTACGGAATTCATGTCAGTTTACAAGCATGATCAGCTTGATATATATAGTAATATTAAATGTAGAAAACATGTATGTGATATAAGGTTGTTTTAAATGATTTAGTTTAAACATTGTTTAGGAAGTACATTTTTCACACGTATTACAGCAATGAAAGGCATCAGTCGGGAACTTTTAGCTCTTTTTAGGTTGATGTATGGACGGTGCATGTAAAATCATTTCCTGCTCCATGACAAATTGATGATAGCCATCTACAACTAGAGAAAATAAAATGAAATCAGAGAGTACTATATCATGGCAAGTCCATAATATCGGATTAAGTCTGTTGTTCTATCTAGTATAGATTAGTGCGCTAATACCGACATAGACGTAAATCCTACATTGCCATCATATGACTATAACTCAAATTCACTTTTAAGTTCTCTTTTACATTGATTGTAATTCTGTTTTATTCTATTGATAGCGTTTTGTCCGAAGATTAACTCACGAGTTACTCAACCCTGATCTTTCAATTACTCAACAATCTAAAGAACATTTAACTCAAATAGAAGAAGCTTGTAAAAATACATTTCCTCAATTTGATTCACATCAAATCAGATTAAAAATACGTGCTCAGCTGAAACTGTATAGACGTAATTTGAAAAGGGTGGATAAGAAAATATCAAAACTTGGTCAACCCATATCATCCCTTAAAGTAAGTACCAGTATATCACTGAGTCCTATACACATGGTACTATTTGGGTCAACTGTTATTTCTTCTTTAGCATCCCTTTTATTGACTTTTCATTCGATTCCAATTTTTTCATTTTATTTAAACACATAAATATTGGTACAAAGGGGCACCAGATATATATGCGCCACACAAATCTCATTCGATTTGTGTGAGGGCTGTGATACTGTCCAGGTGCCCAAACTGAACCAGGTGGTTTTCTTAGGAGCCACACCCGCAGCCTTTGACGTGAAGGTCTAGTCCACAAGGCAGTGGAGCATCGTGATGGAATGCAGTCTCATGGTAGCCGGTGACCAACAATTGGTTCGTACGCCATTTGTTTCTTCAGGATACTGAAGCCCATGTGCACCATTGGTTTGGAATCAGGGTTTTCCAACTCCCCTAGTTGGATCCTCTATATCCAGCAACCCTGTTAAAGCTCCGGACATTCGCTTTTCGTCCTCTCAATTTCTTAAACAACACCCCCGCCACAAGAAGGCAGTGAGTAGGACTTCCCTGTCAGAAGCTATATATTCGCATGGCCATATGAGAGCATTTCGAGAGGGAGAGCGGACTCTGCCCACTCTCGGCCGTACCATTTGGGGGCAGTAATTTTTAAACAACAATCAAATGCATCATTTTCATCAAATTTTAATTACCGATTCAATAGAAATCCTGTTAACTCTGAATTAATTAACTTTATTCAACAAATGAGTGAAGAATATAAGTATGTAGTGAGAAATAAGGGGAGATCAGCAAATCTATACAAAAATCATGGTAATAGTCAACTATTTAAATTTCAAGACGATTTATCTATCAACAATGTTATAGTTAGGCTAGTTTCAGTACCAGATGCCTTCACCGGAAAAGTAATTTATTTTTGTTTCAGACGAATTGAATCGGTTGTATTTTTTTACAAATACATTGTTATGAATATTAAAGGTTGGTATAATTTGATAATAAACATAATATCATTCAGAAACACGGTAAACTAAATATTTTATACTATCAGTTTCTCAAATATTGTAATCACTCTCTGTTTAGGGGTTCCGATGATAACGGAACCCAGGTAAAGGAGTTCTTATCAATCTTCTGTACATGACTCTCTACGTGAAGAGTAATCAAAAGTTAAGCTATTAAACATCGAACGCCCCAGTTAGGAAAATCTTTGTAAGGTTCAAAACAGTATTAGGTCTCTCTACTCATGTCAGTGTATAATGGTTACTCAAGAGATGCCTTACCAACTACAAGTTTCATTAAATATTTCTTTTACTTTTTCATAATGGCCTTGTTTATTACTTCTCTAATTAGTGTACCTATAATTTTTTTTAATATTTTTCGCGTATACAAATCAAAGTCCATAATAAAATCCGTCCCAAACCATCTTGAAAACCTAGTACTTATATGCTTTGTTTTGCAATGTTTAGTCAAACCTGAGAACGGAAAACAAAAAAAATGGCTATTTACGCTTATTTTTGTATTGTTCTACCAATCTTGATAATATTTGTGTGACTAAGTGGGCAACTATTCGAAACCAATAGGTTCTTTGTTTTCATTTTCATCTGTTTACCAGTAAGAAGTTAATCAATTCAGATGAGAAATTTTTTTGAAAATTCTAATCAACTTGATTATGTTAAATATAAATTCAAATATCTGTAAGGATTTTTTTTTTCTTTTTCAGCCAATATCATCTAATTTGATATTCAACTCAAGTATGTCGAACATACTGTATCCAATTTCAGAGAATACAGATAATATGATATCTGAAATGGGACTTAATCACTTAAATGCAACATTCAACACTTCTATAGATAATAAAAATGATAATGATATAAATATGATAAACACTGATTATATTTATTTACCAAATAATTCTATCTCAAATATTCCTTTTATTTATCCAATCTCTTTTAATCAACCACCATTAATCTATCATTCAATACATAATAAATCTAAACCAATCAATTCAACTGTAAGTATTTATAATAGTCCATTTCGTTATTGATAATGTGATTCCTAATAATAAGTGTGTAATATGATTAAAATTTCATTCAATAGTTTAATGCTAATTATAATGCTTAATTTCTGTTTGTATATTTCTTCTTAAGTCTTCTACTTTCAAAAAGCTGCATTATTGAATGTTGCTTACTTCTTCAATCTTCTCAAGGATGTTTAGGACTGAAATTGATCAGTCTCTTATTGACATATGTTCATACTTTGCCGATCGCCTCGATATTGCATTAAGTCGCAAGCATTATAAACAAAGATTGATGGCGGCTAGGATTGGAATCCAGGACACGCGTTTCGTCCTACTTGGGGCTCGTCAGCTAGATGTACCTGCATCTCAGAGTTGATGTTCACTCTGGGACTCGAATCGGGTGAATTTCGCTTCAAACGCCATCGCGTTATCCACTCAGCTACTGAGTCCTGATAGCCACTTGCTTGTGCAATGGAGTGAACTTTATTAATACATAAAAACATGTATAAGAAATTATTGCTACAAATAGTACATTCAATTTTATTATAGTTTCGAATCAAAATGAAAAATGTACAGAATGATGTAGAACAGTAAATATAACTAGACCAAAATAAAAGCAACACGTTTAACTTAGTTTTGAAAAAAATCAAATTTAGACATCTGAAATTTTAGTTTCATGATTTATAAGATAATTTCAATTCTTTACGAATAATGATAAATTGTTCACATCTGAACTCATTTATCCAATCAGTTTGATTTTGATATTATATGCTTCGCATATACCATAAAGACGAGAAAGAACCACTGAAAGCAATAATAAGTATTATAAGCAAATATGGATGATGGCTAGTAGTGAAACCCAGAACACATGTTTCTTACTGTTTGGGACTCATCAGGTGGATTTACCTGCGTCCTGGATCCCACTTCTGGACACCATCAATCTTTGTTTATAATGCTTGCGGAAGAATTATTAACATGACCCTTATTTGCCACCAAATGCCCTGGTACAGCCGAGAGTGGGGCGAGTCCGCACTCCCTCTCCAAATGCTCTCACATGGCCACACGTATATAGCCTCTGCCAAGGAAGTCCTACTTATTGCCTTCTAGTGGCGGGAGTGTTGTTTTCGAAATTGAGAGGACGAAAAGCGAATATCCGACGCTTTAACCGGGTTGGTGGACACGGAAAGTCTACCTATTGGAGTCGGAAAACCCTGATTCCAAACCAATGGTGCACATGGGCTTCAGTATCCTGATGGAACAAATGGCGTACGAACCAATTGTTGGTCACCGGCTACCATGGGACTGCATTCCATCACGATGCTCCACTGCCTTGTGGACTAGACCTTCACGTCAAAGGCTGCGGGTGTGGCTCCTAAGAAAACCACCTGGTTCAGTTTGGGCACCTGGACAGTATCACAGCCCTCACACAAATCGAATGAGATTTGTGTGGCGCATATATATCTGGTGCCCCTTTGTACCAATATTTACGAGTGCAAATAAATAAATAAATAGATATAGAGGCTATTCGCACAGGATGCTCGTATGCCAATAAGAGACCGATCAATTTCAGTCTTAAACATCATTGGAAAGATGTAAACAAACAATACGAAATGAATTTTAACGATATCTATTAACTACAGATTTAAAATTCTTTTTTTACATTTGCATCTTATATTCATTTGTGATATTGCACTTTCGTCATACGGGCTGTTGATGATATCGACCTCATGACATTGTTCACTAAACATAACTCACCGTTTTTTTATTGGTTCTCCCACTAGCATCTCATGAATGAAACTTAAAAAGTTTACACTAAAGTTATTTAAACCTACATTTCTAACTAATAAATACATTGTCTCTATGATTTCGCAATCAACTAAGTTTTAGTCTCACTTTAAAATATATTGTGAATATTTTTTAAAACAAAAATGTCTATTTACTTTTAGTGTGTAGCTGATTTATCATCTACAACAAAATATTTAGTGCCAACAGTTTCAAATATTACAACTGGTACATTATCAATGTCGTCTACAACTACACCATTGCCAGTCTTCTCAACACCAAATACTACTACCAGTCTGTTATCTTTATCTCTACGTGAAAGTGCAAGTCTTCTTATTCAAACCGCCAGATTATATAAAATGTTCATTCAACCTAATCAAAGCATTAGCAATAATCACCAGTTAAGCATTTCCAATTCCCAATATATAAATAATATATTTCATGGTGTTTATTATTCGCCAGAACTAGAAGACTTAACGAATATCCCATTAAATCTTGAACATAAACTATCCAAAACCAATTTACAACCAAAATAAATCTTCACTCATAGAAACTAAATATATCGTTGATAACAATAAGTAATTGAAAAAACCCACGTTTTTAAAAAAAATTTATATTATGTATATATTTAACTTTTTTGTTAATATACAAACATGTTTTTACGTTAATCTTATTTTCTTGGTTTAGTCCGAAGGTATATTCCACGAAGTAGGTAATTTATCAGCGTAGTATGACGAACCTAAGTTAGTTTTTCGATGAAATAATAGTACTCGCTGCTGAACATTTCAAACCTACTAGGTAACTTTTTTAATAATATTTCTTGATCATAATAGTTTTTCAGTTCACATCAATCCATATTGAAGACCATTATTAAATACATTAAAAATTGTTTGTGCCGTACTTAAAGGGTTTCAAAGTTTACTAAATCTAAAAATCACTATAGAATTATCGAGATACTTACCACATAAGACTTACGTATGAAATAAATGAACGTAAAAGTATGGCCATTAGTGCGCTTATTTTTTCTTTACGTGAAATACTATGTAAAACCACTAAATGAGTCTATCCCTCTAAAGTCATTCATCTACCTATTGCGTACCCCGACATACAATGGGTTGGAAAAACTAGTGTTAGTCAGATCACGATCAAACTGAAAATGCATTGTTTAGCAATCTGTGAGGTTTAGTAGGTACAGATCTCTTTGTCAAAATTAAAGCATTATTCATAAGCTATCTTTGAAGAGTTACATTTTACACAATCAATCACAGTGGTCCATTGTATTCATTCTCTAGTTTCCACTGAATATTGAGTTTAGTATCATTCTTAAAAATTTAATTTTTGATTGCATTTGCTTCTTCTAATCCAGGAGCTCTAGGTCTAGCGGCGAATGCCCAAGCCTTGGACTACTAAGTAATTATCCAGTGATTTACATGTTAATTTTCAACCAGTTTGCAATTTCGCTTAACCATTATCCATTACTATTTGTGGGTTACTGTCTCATACAAGACATGATTGGACTCAATTTGGTTACAATTTTTCACCAGATCACTCAAAACTAACTACTAGTGAGGAAATGATTATTATTAGTAGAACAAGTGGTTTTTAGAGCTTTTTTTACTTGCCTACATTTAGAGCTTAGAGTTTTAAACCATTGGATATTGACTCACTGATCTACAGGTTAAGCGCTAGCCGCGTGACCTAAAAGTTCTGTGTACGATCTTACATTATCATGAAGTCCTATACTTGAATAAGACATCTGTCCAGTACATCAGTCTTTGATGTAAACTACATAATTCAACAATCTATACAATCCTCTTAGAGAATATTACTGGCTACTTCTACAGTAGCCTAACCAACCATGTCACAAACTTTGATCTAACATAGTTAGACAAATTAACAAAACCGTTTTATTAAAAACATATATTTACAAAGCTTATAAATTTATATTCTTATTATGTAGTCTGACGAATTCCATTATATATATCGCAAAAATAATTTGATTTCACAACTAATCCTATTAATATATGGACTAGTGATTGTTCAATCTATAACCGATTATATTGTATAAGCTTATTCACCAATTATTAATGACGCAAAGTAGGCTTGACTTTATAATTTAAATGACCTGCCTTGCTAATAATAGATATGTTATTATTAAAAATATTCTATAGGACAAGTGTATTTACACGTTCATTTGTTCATATTATTGTAATGATGTGTGCTGTAAAGTGACCAAAATATGTATTTAAATAGTGAAAATGTAACTGAGTGAAACTGTTAAAGTTCATACACAACCTTATAATTAATCATATGAAACAATATTGATAAATTCATTCGAATGACGATGAATACATTTGCAGCTTATATTGAAATTCTAGGATTATTGAAGTAAGTAATAAGTTGAGCAATAACTACACTAATATTAATTGAATAAATATTTGTAATGATCACAACATCAGGTTGGTTTTTCAATGTTCGACTGAAATCAATCATCTAGAGAGTCGTTGAAAATCCAGGAGTAATGTATAGTTTTTTTTCTTATTAGTTTTATGGACCGTTCATTCCTACATATACAATTTTTGTTTTTCCAATGATTAACTGATTCAAAAAGAAGTTTTACTGATGATGTCTAGAAAAAAAGTGTCACAAATAAACCGTCCAACTCATAAAATGCAATTTCATGATGAAAACTATTTTAAAACGCCCTATAACTACTTGTTTTAACTGGGACTTTAACCCGAGAAATTTAAAACTGTAGTTTAATATTATAAACACTTGAGTATAAAAATGGACGACGGTGTGAATTAAACTCATTATACCTTTTATATTGGATGGTTGGCGATAATCATCAAGAGATTTAAAGCTTAGATTTTGTACTAGCTACTACGGTGCATAAGTAGTAACATCTTACGAAGAGGTATTCTTTTCTGATTTATATTGCGTACTACTCAATGACATGACCAACAGCGATATTACTGAACTATTAGAGCCCCAATTAATCTCCTATATAATTGAGATATTTGTACCAATCATTCGCTACCTATCAAACGATTGCTTATTGTCTAGTCCTTGATAAAAATCAGGTTTTATTGATCAACTAAGAATGCGTTCAATATTCGCATTAACTCGACATTTCGATGGACTTCGTTTGATGTTATGTAGTAGGCGGGGCAGTCGGTGGAATGTCTGGAAGTACGATTAAGATTGTTTAGACAGATCAGTACTTAGAGACTATCCGGAGGTTATGATTCCCTTTTATTTATTTAACTATGTACTGTTCCACTAGACGGATAGAATCATTGACAGTATTTGACAAATTTGAAATAATTTCTAAATTGGACACCTTAAGTTGAACAAACAAAAAGCATATAGTGTTGGTCAGTCAGTCAGTCACAACGTAGTATTGTTAGTATTCATTAATCAAAAGAAGTTTCAATTTGTTATCTCGACGTGATCACAGTTTTCATATTGTTGCGGTGATCCAGAAAACTTCTTGCAAAAGACAAGAAAGGCTCAGGAAACACTAAGATGAATTTTACCCTATCAGCGTTTGCCAGAAGTTTTGCCAGAAACATCACGAAAGCGAAAAGTCATATGTAGAGTTTCTGATTGGTTGATTACTATACGCTACCATGTTTAGTAGCATTGCAGAATTTTCGGGAAAACCCAAGGACCTCTAAAATACCATAAAAACCCTATATTTTCTGCACATGAATGAACCTTTGGAGTAAAGTGCTCCTCTCATATTTTGCGCCTTTTCTCTGTAGGTTGCTCTGTAGGTTTAGCTTGGGGGTCACGAGAATAGCTTAGGAACCGAGTATAGAGCTCAATTAGCAAGACTGATCACATATATTCAGTCGAGAACAATATATAATTAGTTTTTAAGTTTATTGATGTAATCATAAATTGGTTTTTAAAGTTGTAAATAATTTACACGATCTGTCATTCTTACGTACCATAAATCCCTATTTTCATTCAATATCCAGATATGAATAGTAGCATCTCGATAGTCTACGATAAATGAGTTGACTGTTCCGCACATCAGTGTCTCTACAGACACCATTAAAATTAGCTATTTATAAACAATTTATGATATACGATCACACTATGTGAAAAACTATTTTGTTAGACGGTGAGTACCATTTAGTTATCTTATTGTACTTTAGGATATTAGAAATATACACACGAAAACTTTCTAAGACAACACTTGGTGAGGACACTTCATACATGATTTAGAAATAGACACATGATAAATGTATTGTTTAAAAGTATGGTATTCGAATTTAAGATTGTTTGTAAAATACAATAGAATCGTTAATATTTGACTTAGAAAGGTTGTACGTACACTAATCAAATAAAGTCATTTTATAATTAAGAAAACTGATTTATTGGAACTGAGACTGGCTAATGTAAGATAATTAAGGGAATCAAATGTAGGTAGGAGGAGCTGAACACATTCCTTTTGTACACATAGTTCCGTTTTTTAAATCCGAATAACTAATGGTTCTGTTATTTGGAACACTTCAAGGCTTGGCAGAAAAATAAATATTTCGATATTTGCTAACAGATGCATAAGCTGTAGATAATATCATGGTATTAAAACAACTCTCAATGAATTCAAGTAGTTTGAAATTCTATATTTGATCGATTTCACTAACACTTGAAAAGTACATCTCCTTTGTCTACTACCTTGGTTTTTAATCAGTAAATCATCGTCAAATCAATTTTTATTTTGATATAAAGGAAGCCACAAAACTGTCAAGTTACTCATACACACCTAGCAACAGACGTCAATGTTAGTAACGTTTAGAAAAATATTCGTTTATGGGTCAATTTGATATTTTAATTGACTGATATTTCATGTAGTCAAAACATTCACACATTATTTTTGTAATTAACAGAATAATGTTTCAGTATTCTTAATGATCAATAATAAATTGACTGATAGTCAGTCTATTGGAACACTCGATACAATTCGGCAACATTTCAACATCTATTAAAATAAATTCACTTAGTATTGTTTGTTTGAATCTTCCCATTGATTAGAGTGGCATATGTGCATATTGTGCGTGTTGCCTCAATATAGCCTAAATTCACAAGCATTGTAAGCAAAGATGGATAGTGGCTAGCAGTGAAATCCAGGGCGCGCGTTTCGTCCTATTTGGGACTCGTCAGCTGGATGTGTCCGCATCTCAGAGTTGATGTTCACTGTGCGACTCAAACCCAGTACCTTTCGCTTCAAACGCCATCGCGTTGTCCACTCGGCCAATTAAAATAAATCAAATAGTTTTTTACTAACTGAGCTACCTATAATCTATCAATAAACAACAACACTATGATAATTTACAATTTATTAAAAAGTATTCCGAAATTGTGTGCACGTCTTATGTGCAAATGGGCATAGATTATTCTCATCCTACATCAATTAACTTCAGCTAGTAATTTTCTAATAGTGAGCTTCTATAGTAAGTAGTCAGATGTCACGTAACAGTGATTGTAGTTAAGTATTCAACTTTTATTGTATAATTAAGCGGAAGTTGATCTGATGTATGTTTTCTTAATAGCACTTGTCATGTCATTTCAACATAAGTTTGAACTTATAATAACATGTACTTTAAGTGGTGATATAGTGAACAAGAACACAAGTGGGGACAATATTTTTGTTATTTCATTGTTTTAAGTTTTAAAATCATTTTGTTCACATTTACTTATTTCAAATGGTAATAAGTCAATTGATTTAAGTTGAAATGATGAGAATACTTGCCTTGATAACGATATCATTTGCTCAATATTTAATTGGAATTTGGTCATCAATTTGGTCACAAAATTTAGTGGATAAAATTATCAATCACTCACAAAATTTCTATGGTAATTTAAATTATACTCACATATAGAAAAGTTATGGTGTTGATGAATTGAAAAGTGAGTGAAATCACTGATTTATATTATGATGAATACTCATATGTTAGGAAACTTAAAAATAAGTTATCCAAGTTCATTTGTCAATAAATACTATGTGATCAGAAGGGGTTTTGTGGAGATTTTAGTATTTTTATAGAGTTGAGATCATGAGTCAATTGAAGCTAGACTACCATGGAAAACCTGGAAGCACTGGACGGCCGTTTCGTCCTATTATGGGACTCCTCAGCAGTGCGCGTCCACGAACCCACTCTCGCGGGATTCGAACCCAGGACCTACCAGTTTCGAGCCGAAGCCCTTAACCGATAGACCACTGAGCTGGCATCCAACGGTGTTAATTTCTAACTTCAACTGATTCACGAAATTGAGCAACCATTCACCAATGTCATCAGTGAGTTCCTATCTCACAACAGAGCTGAGGAGTCCCATAATAGGACGAAACGGCCGTCCAGTGCTTCCAGGTTTTCCATGGTAGTCTAGCTTCAATTGACTCATGATCTCAACTCTATAAAAATACTATGTGAGTTACTATACCAGAGGTAATATTGTACTACTTGTATAGTAACATTTGTATGATTAATGATATGAATAAAGTGGCCAAGTGTGATGTTTACTCACGTAAACGGATCATTAGTTCGATCAGTCATCTCAACAATGAAAGTCTATCAAAAGATAGAACAGACGATTAACGAAAACGAGTTATTTTATATAACGTAATGAAACACTTGTCCATAAAACTTGGACAAAATAATACTTACATATTTAGGCCTTTTACCCTTCATGAAGGAGCATAGATCGCCCATAACATTCTCCATCTAACTCTATCCTGAATAATCCTTTCAAGTTGCTATTCATCCTTTTGATGTCTGATACCAATTCTCGAGGCAATGTGTTCATTCGCCTACGTCTTTTATGTTTCCCTTCAGGATTTCAAGTTAGGACTTGCTTATATGCAGTTTGACGATATCGTACCGTATGTCCTAACCACCTCCATCATTTTTTCCTGATTTCCTCTTCATCTGGAAGTTGATATGTCCACTTTCACAGTAGGCTGTTGCTGATTGTATTCGGTCAACGGGTATTAAGTTTCTTGAGTAGACCATTGTTTATAAATACTTTACCTTTTTGATGATGGCTGTAGTAATTCTCCAAGTTTCAGCTCCATTCAGTAGATCTGTCTTGAGGTTCATATTAAAGATTCTCACTTTGATATTGGTAGACAGTTGTTTTGAGTTCCAGATGTTTTTCAATTGTGATAATGTTGTCCTTGCTTTGCTAATTCTTGCCTTTACGTCTGCATTAGATTCTCCTTGTTTATCGATGATGCTCTCCAGGTATGTGAAAATCTCCACCTCTTCCAGAGTTCCTCCATCAAGTGTGATTGGATTGGTGTTCTCTGTGTGGCATTTGAGAATGTTGGTTTTCCCTTGTGTATAATGAGGCCTACTGATGCAGAGGCTACTGCTACA